CAATGGTCTAACGACTACGGCATGCACGACTATGAGTACACCCCCCAAACGCCCTCTCGCTTGCCTTCAAATATATTATCGGCCTGGAGCATGAGTTCGGTGATACCCCCCCCCCGGTAGATCGATTGTCGAAAAGAGAAAGACCCTGTAGGGAACTTAGGTACTCCCTTCGGGCGGAGATGCGTGTCTCCGTTGTTAGAGCCGATCGTGTTTGCAACTCGAAGCACTCAAATGAATATTGTGGGGAAAATGACACCTACAGATCGGCCGTAGAGCGCGAACGTCACCGTTATGTTTGGTTAGGATTGCTCCTGTGCGCGTATGTTTATTGTGTGCACCACCGTTTAATTCTTGGCACAACAGTCCCCCCGGGAATAGCATAAAAATAAACACGATCCACCCTGATTACTTTTTTTTCTACTTCCTTCCTCCGGGGGAAAGGGGGGGGGGGGGCGTACTCTTATATTTTGCATGCCTTAGGCGGTTTCTTACGGTTTGAAAAATTCCAGTTGAAAAATTGAATTTTCAATTCCCAGATCCAACTCGGAAAATCTCACTCAAAAATAGAGCAGCCTTCTCACGGATCGACGGAATTGGAAACGCTTAAACAGGGGGGGGAGGGGTCACAATTACACCCCCGCCAAACGACCCAACATCATTCCGCTAGTCAAACCACGCAACATCATGCAGCTAGTGGAACCACTGCTGCTGCAAGGCGCGAACAACTACTCCGATGCGCTGCTGCGGTCGATACTCGGGGTCGATACTCGGTTGCGACAAGGCGACAGCCAAAAACGTGAACATCCTTCAGAACGCGGCCATCTGGTACGCGTGCTCCGTGATCAAGCGCGCGATCGGCACAGCATCCCAGTAGGATACCGAGCGTGCTGTGCGCCGGCGACCATCCTCCGCTTGGATCTGGTGCAAAGCCGCCAACGCGACTGACAGCACTGTTGCTTCCAACAGATCGTCGCCGGTCCCCATATCGGGCGCACCGCGCTGACAACAAAGCACCGGGTCTGCGCGTGTGAGGCGCTGTTGTGCACTGTCGGGTGCTTCCAGCGACCAAAGCAGGTGTGGTGGGGGGTCTGTGTGATGCCCCCCCCCCCCCTAGGTTTGGATTTCCAACTAGCTTTTTCAACTCGGTCGCGACTTGGAAAATTCTGAAACTTTCGACTGCGCAGGGCGTTTCCATTTTTTTTTGGCCCAAGTTGAAAATTTATTTCTCAAAAAAATCGATGTAACAAACCGTAAGAAGCCCTGTTCGACTGGGAATTGAAAATTTCATTTTTTCAACTGGAATTTTTCAAACCGTAAGAAGCCGCCTTAGCGGTTAGATCATTGACCACGCGTCCTCGAGAGGACGGAGCATTTTTCCCACAGGACCGATCACCGATGGCCAATCGTTCCTTTCCACTTTGCCAAACGTGGCTAAAAAATGTCTTCTCTAGTCTGTCTATCCTAACGATATCCCTTCCCGCCTTTTCAACCCACCTCCTATGCCCCAGTACAGCTACCTTCCTTTCCTCTCTATTCCATGCCTCAAACATCTCCCTGTACGTCCCATCTGTTTTTCTCAGCTCAGTCACGTACACTCCCCTCTCCTTCTTGTACCACGGACATTCCGCGAGTACATCAACACGGTCTTCGCATTCGAAGCCACAATCACATTTGAACTCGTCGTCTTCGTCGTCTACCGTCCTATGTCCTCGTCGAAGTTCTCGAAGGCCTATGTCCCCGACGCTGAATTTGACCTTAAGCTTTGTTCCTGCATCCATTGGTCCATGTAGGAAATCCTCGAACCCTATTCCTTCTTCAACATTTCGTACACTCCTAGACCCTCCTTGCCCTTGGATTCTTCCCTTAGAATCTGTTCTTCTCTCTCGGCACAAGCAACAGATATCTTCTCCTTGAACCCCTGTAGACCCTCCGT